CTGGTCTTTCATCGAATTTAAACCTTACATTCTCACAGGTAGTGTGTGAGAAGCCGAGCCAATGTATTTACGAAGACTGGTAGAAGGTTTCTTAGGCGTTCAGATCTTATCGCGGCGGGACCAAGTGCTGTTCAGTTCTTCACAGACGAACTCGCATGTCGGATTTCGGAAGGTAGAATCAGTAGAACAGCATATCTATCCTCTTTCATTTCATAGGTAGGCAATAGGACGCGTTTATTAAAGAAAGCAGAGTGATAATCGTAGATGATCTTCTCTTTTGCCTTTCTGGAAGCTGTAACCGTTCCATCTAGGCGTCAGAGTGCAATTATCTCGGTCTTTTAATCGGCGAAGTTTCGGCAGGCATCGCAAATACGCCTCACAACCTCTTCATCTTCAACCATTGATTTTGTTCACCTCTCTTTGGAAATCTTCCTTTATCGCCTTTCTGCAGTGTTTTGCAAATTCGCACATGAGCTGGAGATTGCCTACGGCCAGCACTCCTCTACTTCATAACAGCTCGAGTGTTTCTGTAGACAGATATCACTTGGTGATTTTCGAACTCTAGGCCTTGATTTAATCGCGTTAGACGGTTACGTAATTTCCCTAGAAATCGAATAGCGATGTTAATAAATTGCAGTTTGTGATGGCTTTGCTAATTCGTTTCTTTAACTTCGCTGCTTGCTTTTCCTCTTTCGAAAAAATGAGCCTTGAGCTAACGAAGCAATGGTCTCATGCAGAGTAAAATTTAAGGAAAACAGCAACACCATAAGGCAAAGCCTTCCATTTACTATGATCTGGTCTATTTCCTTATGGTACCCTCTATTGGGTGGCTTCCAGAACCCAGGCTTGACAGTGGTGCTTCTGGAATTGAAAGCTGCCATGGGTGGTTTTGGTCGTCACGAAAAACTCGACAGGCGCTCACACCGCTATTTCCATGCTAATCCGTGAATCGCAATGTGGCGTTTTTCTGGGTCCAATCTTAGGGTTAAAATCTCCAATGGTGATCTTGAAGAATGTTTGATCATATCTGTTGAATTTCCTCAGGTCTTCATGGAACGCCTTGATTTTTCCTTCGTCATAGCTTATGTTGGTGAGTTTACGACGATGGTCAAAACCGATACAAATCTGTTCAACTGTGAACGTCCTATTCAGATTATTGGTTGTTCGAATGAATCAATGTTCGTGGGCAAACTCGTGATGACGAGTACGCTAATGCTGCCTATTCCCTTGCTGTTCCATGTTCCGAGAAACGGTTCTTCTCTTGTGTCATAGATGGCGTTGAATGGGTGGGGTCTTCTCTTCTCGGTCAGTCCAATGTTGTCGTACCTTACACTTTTAGCCTGCATGGCCAGGTCTTTCATGTAGGAGTCAGATGCAGGTGAGCGTACATTATAGGTAATGATCGTCACCTTAGTCTTTCGAGATTTCGACAGCTTAGAATAGTCCTGAGATTTTAGTAGGCCTTCCGCACTCGTCCTATCTAATGTTGCCGAATTGGAGCTCTTTCGGTTGTCAGGGGAATGAGGTTCACATATTCTTGTTCAGTTTAGGTTCACATATCCTTGTTTATCTTGTTAAGTTTAATACTCATATATGGCTTGCTGGGCTCTGAACATGGGTGTGGATATATACACGAGTAGTTTGCCAGTCTCTCTCGGGGTAGACGAGGAGCTTATTTGTTGGGATTGACTAACAACTGCCTCCCATATGTTTTGCAACTACCTTATTGTAGGCTTTAACAGAACTGACTCGTAGAACACAATCTGCAACGAAAGCGCACCCACGCACGCTTGTATGAATAGTTTCTTGTAAACATAAAAAGTGTTTGTCAAATCGGCCAATAAAGGTGACCAATAGAGCAATAAATCTGCACGCTATATAGGTGAATTGTAAAGGCACAAAATAAAACAAAAACTGTTTCAGAGTCCCCAAGAAGGTTGGCTAACGAGTTGGCAAACCAACCGTGGGCCGGTAACTTGTGTTCCAGACGCCTAACGCTACTGTGTGGCCTATTCTACCATTCTTTTCTTCCAATTCCCTCATTTCCTTTATCACAAAGAGAGACCTTTTACATTTGGTTTAGACGTATTGAAAAGCATGAATAAACAATATTTTCCGAAGATTTGAGTTGTAAAATGAGGGTTGATGTCACCTCCTCCAGTGCCCCGTGCTGAGACGTAGAATTTTTAACGAGTTAAAGGGAGAGAGTACATTTAAGGCACATAGTAGGTCGCTGAGAAATCTGCCAATTAGAACTCCTAACTACGAAGATCAGCGTCCATTTGAATATCACGCATTTTCATGAAATAGCCATCGTACTGGTTTAATCGCGACCATACTTTTTCATGTTCGGTTGAGTTCCTTTTGAAAATTCCTTGGCTTACTTGTTTCAGGTGAAATTATGAAGCGATATATGATTTGGTTATCCTCGTTCCGAAACTCTGAGATTTTTTCATTGTCTACAGATCTTAGAACAATGGTTGGGAGTATTATAGGACTTTAAAGATTGTTTGGATAAAATCTATGTTGAAGAATCTTTTGAGAAAGCCTAGCATATGGGTGGATTTAAATCAGAGCTTCTAATACGAGCAAGAAAAACATCTCCACGATTGGCTTGCATCTTACAGTCATGAAGCTCAAAGTGCAATGGCGACGAGGAATCTTGCGGCGCCTCTGTTGAGCGAATGACCTGTCGGCGTTGCTCTATAAGTTATAGATCCTTCCTTTAAATGATACCACATCATATGGTCCCGAGCAAATTGTTCAAATCAGTCGTTTGGTGGTTTGTGAGCCGCACTAAACTCAGGCATTGTCTGGTAGGATCTGCATCATCTTCGAGACTTGTACTATAAACCGAACTTCAAACTAAAGAATGTGGAGTGACGGTTTCTCAGAAGAATAATGAGGTATCCGACTGGGTTCGAGAATAGAAGATCTCAAGTACTTCTACCTTCGAGACATTGAATTCCAGAATTCGCGAAGGACTTCAACTGAAGTCCTGAGAGGCGGCTTAAATCTCGTTTTAACCATCAATTTCGTATATCCCGTTATATATCTAAACGGCTTTCTATAGTGTTGTGCTAAAATCCCCACAGCAAAACCGTTGGAATTCCCGTCGAGATTCGTTTCTCGAAAACAACACTAACATTGCTGCGAATGTGTTGCACACATAAACAGGCGCCCACGTTTACGAAGTAGCCTGATGAATCAATAGCGCCATGGATGAGAAACGTGACCCAAATTCGACACGGTCTCTCTTCCTCATGATCCAAGTGGCGACTGAACCGAAGTTAAGTTTCTGCAAAAAACTCTCATGTCACTCGACTATAACTTAACGCACTGGTTTAACGCTTATTTGCTACCAAACCAGTTTTCTGTTTCCACAGATCTATCCACAGCTGGTGCACATATAGCATCCAACACGAACAACACTAGAGTAAGAGTAGACCGCAGATGCTTAGCAACCGTTCCGGCTCCTTGGTCTGACAAAAAAGAAGAGATCCTCAAGCAAAAGCCGAAACTATGAGAAGATCTTCGTAGATGATGATTGCGACGAAACGAATCGAATGTGAGAAGTGCTTTAAACCTTTAAACCGCACAGTAGACGTGAGGACGGGTCATATAAAAATATAAAAATAAAAAGGCTACTATTAACTATTATCCCACTCGACGTACCACAGTGACATTCGTGGTGGGCGTGCAACGAATGCGCCGACGCGCTCGAGATTGACCCGCATCGCGTCCATTGTTTGCGTGCGGCTCTGCGTGCCCAGGAATGCACACGGCGATAAGCGGTCGAGTTTCTGCTTACAGTGGTACTTTCATTTTTGTCCTCTCGTTGTGTCACGGGCATTTTGGACTGTTGACTGTCCTTCATTCTTCAGCGATATCCCGCTTGTTTAAGTTTTTGGCAGTACGTCAAATTTTAAGGTCTATTTTTATAACCATGATGTATAACCGTCCCGCAAGCTGTGACGTGAACGCATTCGGCGTTTTTGACCGTCTTATTCGTCATCTGCAATGTCGGTCGTTCGCACGATGGTCGACGGACCCTCGTCGATGTCGTCATTTACGGCTCTGGAACTGTTCATGAAGTCATTTGTCACGATAACCTGTTTTAAACCGTTACACTCATGGCTTGCCAACTTGTCGTTGTCGAGGAGACTTTGCAAAACGTCTCAGTTTTCGTTACTCTTGAAGCCTAATCGGACTGTTGGAAACTCGTGAACACTTTGAAAATGGCGTAGCTGAGTTTTTTTTCGGGCTTAGTTCATGTTCCTGTTAGTTTTACAGTCCATTTGAGCCTCGGGAAAGGGTGGTCACGTGTGCGAAACCCGTCTGAGGTTCTGAGGTTTGCCTAAATCAAAATCCTTGTGGTTGTGTCACACATCGTACTCTGTCATGGAAGAAAAAGTAGGCAGCGGAAGAAACTCCTTGTTTATTGGTGTAAAATGTGATGCTATGCATATTCCAGAGCTGCGCTTCAAACTATATAAATTAATGCTTTTCTTGGCCAGAGGCAAGATTGTTAACAAAATTTTTATCCAGCGCTGCCTGAGAGTTTCGCGGTTCCAGCTTCTTCACAGCTATTTTCTTCTTCATGAAGCTTCCAGTCATTGATGAAGATCAGCCGTATAGACTCTTTCTTTGATCAGGTAGCCGGCGAGATCATCGCCAGCTTTTGTCTGTGCAAGAACAAACATTAAATGAGTGAGCGAGCAGTGCCGGGGTCTATAGAAAGTCGGTCCAGGGGATTTCAACCGTGTATTTTTCATAGTTTTGGCAACAGATTGTCGGTGAACAATCCACTCATTTCTGTCAAATTGATGACGTCATTATGCGGAGATCGATTTTTGGTCACAGCTACTTTCGTATGCTACTCATCCCACTATAGACCGTTTCCCGTGTTTTTTTTTATTCAGAAACCCATCTGTTAACAGATTTGATTAGCGCGTGAGCCATTAGTAAGGACGATTTGATAAGAGAAACCTGTCTAGCGTATGTTAGTGAAAATAAGTCAGACTTTGGACTTTGATGAAGCGGAATGCCCATGTGGGTGTATTAGAAGTAGTATACGTTTGTAGAGACTTTGCAGTCACAAAAGCACAGCTACCAATCCATGGTTTTGGTGGAGTGCGAATCCTTGCCAGTATTTCGATTGAACTCGAATGTGGATGTTCATTTAGTGTTCTGTTGATTAGATATTGATGTTGATGGGACCCTTAGGTTCTTACATCCGCAATTATCACCTCTCTTTCGTAGATGGCGCGGAATGCCGGATAATCGTGCTTTGAACGACGATAACAGAGCAGTATTCGGCCCTCGGCTGTCCATTGAACGTACTGCTATATTCACTTTATTGAATCAGGTTAGTATTATCATGATATCGAATGAGGGAAACTGTAGTCCTAGCAGTGAGTGATATTTAGATGTACTCAAGTGTTTCTGATAAAAGCAAGTGTAAACTCATATTTAGTGGAAATCCCATATAAGGGGCAAGCAAAATAAATCTCAAGCGTTTTATTCGTTGTAGTGAGAATGGTAGTTGATCTAATGGGTGTTTTTCAGTTTCAAACTTAAGCTGCCACATGTTGAAAATCTGTGAAAATAGATATACAGCGAACTATTCTTACTGCCACAATGCTTCAGATTCATACTTGCATTCCAATCCATTTCCTTGCATTGTGTTTTCTTCGATATCGGCATAGATAGGCCACTTGTAGCGCAATAGTTAGAGGTGGCCTGTAACGGTTTAATCCCGCACTCGAACCAGCCAAGCCTTCTTTCCCTGCGCTGTAGGCAAACCTATACCAGACAGACCTGTTTGCAAGGGTTAAAACACATTTGATATTCCGATAAGCCACCGAAAGTCATTGTACAGGCCACGTATGCATTCATTTATGTCCAACGACGCTTGATGAAGTCGAAGGCATGGTGCATCCTTCAAGGATTAGTAAATGACGAGTGCTTTAACATTTGTTGTGTATAGTCGCGAAAGCCTCTAACCTCCCATCGTTTTACCGCCTCATCGTGGCTGGGAGGTGTTCCTGGGTGTCGGGCTGCCATGTACAGTGGAGGATTCATCGCCACGGCAGGGTCGCCCAAGCTGAGGAGGAGTCCGGCGTTTCCGTCAGGAAGCCTAGCTAAGAGTAAACCAATACTAGTATCCACCACCGTCCTGGTATCAAAGTCACATGGTGGCAAATCTTCCTCTGATCCACAAGGGCTGCGAGTGCCTTTAGTGATGAAGATGGGGCAGACTTTGGCCAGGCTGACCTCGGGTTTCCAGGCAACCACAATGGCTTAACCAGCAAATCTCCAGAAAATGGAGATTATACTGGGACCTGCACAACCAGTGAGGTCTTACCGTTCAAGTATCAAGTAAGTAAGTAAGTCGTGAAAGTTACTTCTTCGTCCTTTCTTATTTTTGCAGACATGTAAAATTTCCGACATTCGGTACACTTAACGTCATTCCTCTTTTCACATTGTCTAGATTCACATTTCTAGATATTTGAATAAGTAGAAACAGCGTATTAGTTTATTGGTAATCAAAAAAGTTTTCGACTATGAGGGAATTTTGGTACGTCTTGGAGAATTCACTCAAATGATTACAGGGGATTACATCTCACTGAAATGATTACAGGATAGTAGCATTTATCTAAAACGCCCTGAAACTCCTAGTTTTGGTCATTGGTGTTTTATAGTTATACAGTAATAACTCTATCGCTCTAAGTGGCAATGGCATATGTAACTATTGTCACTGATACCGATTTAACCGATGTGCAACGATATGACTTATATTTTGCGAGCATAACAATTAGTATGAGTGAAATGGTCCATCTTCTTCTCAGTTTTCTTCCCAGCATAATCTCCACTTTTTGGAGTTTTACTGGTCTAGTAACTGTGTTTCGCCGAAGTCCCGAAGTCAGCCTTGTGACTGCCCCCGTTCGTCACCACCACAGGCAGTCGCTGCCCTTGTGGATCAGAAGGGGATTTGCCACCATGCGACTGGTTTAATACCAGAACGTATCCTGTTATTAGTTTACTCTTAGCTGGCATTCCTGGTGGAAACGCCGGATTCCTCATCTTGGGAGACCCTGCCAGTGGGACAAATCACTCCGCTGTACATTGCACCCCGACGTCCAGGTACACCTCACAGCAACGATGAGGCGGTAATCCGTTCGGAAGCACATCATGCTTTACAAGAAGAAATAGTTACATGTTAAAACTGTTTTTCATATTGCTTTCATGTGGCTAAAGTTTTATAATCTCATCTGTGTCTTGCGTTGAAATAGAAACCGCAAGTATTGTCATCCCACACACCCACACACCCACACACACACCCACACACACACACACACACACACCACTTCCTTGGGTGAACAAGAATGAGCTGAATGCATTGATAACTGGGTAGTTTCATTCCAAACGCGGCGCAGCATTTGCCGTATCTTCTGATTATTCCCTACTCTCAAAATCACCCTCACAAAAAAGTTTTCATTCGTTTGTGGCTGTCTTCAGTGAGAAGAGACTTGGGAAGTATAGGCGGTCTATGTGGATGCATTGTTTACCAGCACAGTGGGGAATCTTGTTGGTATTGTTATCCATTGTGCCTTCATCTTCTGAACCCTTTCTTATCCTAACCTTCGTTTTTGTGGGATTCATACATTAGTGGTGTTCTGTAGCTAAACTGTACGATGCAAATATTCTATTCTTCAGAAGTGTTAACTGCATGATTTTGCTTTAGAGGAATTCTCTTGGGAGTCACAAACATTTGTAATGCTCCCGAATGTTTTTGACGGGAGATCTAGTTTGATGTTGTGCCATGTCTAGTCTTTAGAATACTTCTCTCTAGCTTTTTGAATATTATGTGTAGAATTCTTGTCAGCCGATATGCCGCCTTGTTTGGTAAAAGTGCTGGTCGATGAAAACTGATCATTGTAATAGGTGAGCATAGCAGCGTTGTTCTTCTTCTCATGTCAAGAATTTTCGGTGATTCGGTGGTTATCGAGGAAAAAAGATGTTACAAAACCTTATAAGCTAAGCAAAGGTTTGGTGGCTTAGTGAAGACCTGACAACACCTAACTCCTGAAGTTTGGTGCCTAGTGAAGACCTGAGAACACCTAATCGGTTGTCCCGCGATTCTCAGGGATAGTCCAGTCGGCCATCATTCAGTGATATCCAGCAAAAAGAGTGTATAATTTGTATCCGAACCCACTTGCAAATGCGAAGACCTCTTTGGATAATAAATGCAAGGCAGCGCATCGGATTAGAGAAGTCCTTGGATCAGCTCGATGACTTATGTCATGATATCTTAAGTCATGATATAAATAAAAATATAAATTATCATCTGTTACTTCCTTCCATATTTCACCGTCGTTTATTTTCTTGTGAGGTTTCACGTGGATCATCTGCATTTCCATTAACCGTGGAATAACTTCAACGGGCTCCAGTGAAGTCTCCATTCGTTCTTTAAGAAAAAACATGCATTTAGTTTAGTGCTGGCTTAGTTTATTAACGTGTAGTGATGTTTTAGCTGTGCAGTGATAATGCTGAGTATTTCTCCAAAGTTACTTCATGGTCTGGTTACAGCGAACGGATGGTCAATGTATCGAGCAAGATACAATATTGTTCAGGAACGCTGAGAGGTATGGTAGCGATGAAGTTCTAATAAATCGTATATTAAGCGAAATTCCTAGTGTGACATTGTGTTTCCACTCTCTTTTCCGATCTGTACGTTCGTAAAATCTTGTACCGAAAACGCATCATAGTTTTATGTTAATATATCTCTACTCCTTCCAACGGTTTACAACCTCATCGTGACTGGGAGGTGTTCCTGGGAGTCGGGCTGCCATGTGCAGCGACGTGGTTCATCACCGTGCGGGGTCTATCAAACTGAGAAGGGGTCCGACATTTCGTCAGGAAACCCAGGTAAGCGTGAACCAATACCAGAATCCACCACCGTCTTAGGAACATACTAGTCACATAGTGGCAAATCTCCCTCTGATCCACAAGGCGTCAAGCGCCCGTGGTAGTGACGGCATGGGGCAGATTTTGGCCAGGCTAACCGCGGGACTGCAGGGAGACACAATAGCTGAACCAGCAAAACTCCGAAAAGATGAGGATTATGCTGAGGTCCGCACAAGCAGTGAGGATGGACCGTACAAGTGTCCAAGTAACTTATAGCCTCCTACTACTTTCGGTTATATTCTGCAATCTTTGTTTTTTTCACTGTTCACTAGGAAGTCCTAGAGTTCTTTGCAAAGAGAATAATTTTCACCATTCTTCTCTATAGAGTATAAGGGTTGTAGTGGTGCTTATCAGTTTTGCTTCCCAATTTTCAGATATAGTGTCGCGGCTGCAGAATATTGCACCAAATTATGACTACGATGAACATACTCCAGGAAACGGATTCAGGTGTGATGTTGAAATATAATAAGTTCTTCCACAGTTCTATTTAACAGTTTCTCCACTTCGTTTTTGTTTTACTGCAAGTTTCTTAACTGTCCTGTGGTAAAATATCACTTGTATCACCTGTAGTCCCGTTGATCGTGGAGTGACTCGAGCGGGCGCCAGTAAATCTTCCATTTTTCCCTGTCGAGTGCAAGAGTAGCCCAGTGAGTTCTGCTCGTTCTAGGGACTTGTTGAGCGTCATATCTTTCTTCTAGGCTTTTCGTGAAGAACTCTGACCGTCGGGTCGGTGGTCTTCCAGTACGTTTGACATCCCGAGGAATCCAGTCACTAACGGCTCTTGTCCATCAGTTGTCGTCCATACGCATTACGTGTCCGGCCCACCTGATCTTCGACTGTTTGGCGTAAGAACGGCATCTTTGATTTTTGATCGTTGACGCAGATCGGAGCTTCGGATCCCATCCCTTACTTATGTGGAACGGGATACTACTAGCATCATCCTTTCGACAGCGCGTTCGATAACGCTGAGTGACCTTTCATCCTGCTTACGCAGCGACCAGGTTTGTGACGCATACGTTAAGGCAGGAAATATCGTTGAGTCGATAAGGTGGGCATAGAGTCGGGTGTTCTTTGTTCTCTTCACTGCATCCTCGATGATCTTGAAAGCACCTCAAGCCGCTCGTTTCCTTCTGCTCAGCTCTGGAGCTAAGTCGTTCATCATGTTGACTTTTCGACCTAGACAGACGTAACTGGACCATGCGGAGGTATTCGTTCCATTGAGCGTGAACGGGGCATACATAACCAATCCTTTCTTCATGAACATCGTTTTTGTGAGATTTAGTCAAAGACCAGTCTTTCCACAGGTTTTATCACACTCGGCAAGTATTCATTCTACTTGGCAAATGTTTTTGTAGGAACCCAATAATGACATGAGATTCAAATCTTTTCATAATCGAGCGTTTCAAAGTACTTTATTTGAGCAAAGGAGAGTGGAAGTAAATAATTAGTCCACGACTTCGAAGATTAATACACCGTGAGATAGGATGATCACTAAGTTAAAAGCCTTCTTTAGGTCATTGGTCTGCATTTGCGACACGACAGTACTGCATCTTGTCTCACTGCAGAAGACCGTCACTGAACAACGGGGATCATTCGTTTTTCGCCTAGCGCACTATTGTAAAGAGTTGGAAGCTTTCGCAAAAGTTGTTGATTTCCTCAATGTTTCGTTACCATTGGTGAGTTCTTTAGGGTTAAAGTTCTTTAAATGAAATCATGACCGTAATATGAGAGAAATTGCAAGTGCTTCTGTCTCTCAAAATTTGGTAGTTGGTTGTAGTTCAGCACAGGAATTAGCATATTTTATCGATATTGTATTTTCAAGTGCATAGAAAACTACATGTCGATGCCGTCGGGATCACTGTTTCCTCCACTACAAGGGAGTTATGACAAGTATTATGAAATTTTACGGGACTTCGAGAAACTCGATTCGACATGCTTTTATGGTCGACCATTAGGCTTTCAAGTAAGTGGTCTTTTTTACACTTACCTGAATGAAGGAATTTCAAACACATTTGTGTGGAGAAAGCCATAAATTCGAGAATATTTCACTAAAATTTGGAACTGAAAGGTATCCTAACTATTATCAAATAGCACTTAAGTGTATGTTTCAGTTTTCTCCTTCTGTCAATAGGATATTCCGCGTGATCGGTATCGTACTAGCTTCATACAGCTTGTCATGGGAAAAAGGCCATGGACCAATTGGTTCAATTATTAATACCGGGCGATTTTTTCTAAGTCCAGAACAGAGAGCGTCACGAATAATTAAGGCTAGTACTAGTATTTTGTTTAACCATTTTCTTTCTTTGAGAAAGAATCTCATTTTAAGGTAACGAAGGAAGCCGACATAGAGTTTTGCAAAGGTTTCTGGAATCTTGCTGAGTTAAGTAACGTAAGTTTAAGTTTGTAAAGTACTTCTTTTCTTTAACGTTTGAACAACTTTTTTATTTTTTTAACTTACTACTTACTCTCTACTCTTTTTAACAGCAGGGTATATTGCGAAATACAACTCTAATGATGCTGAGATATTTGCAAAACTCCGGACTGTAGGTGTCTGCGGTGGGGAGCGAAGGCGCTATTGTCCTTTCCTAAGTAACGGAGTAACGCGTTCACCACCACACCATGCGTGTCCTTCGTTTCGCTTGTCTCTCAGCTAGTTCTATTCTGCTTTTTTTTGTTTTTCTTTACTTCCACTTTCCACATTTTTCTTATTCCTATCTGATGCTTTTTCGTTATTCTTCGTGGTCGTTGAGTTTCCTAGACAGTAACAGCATATGCTTACTCATTTGGTTAAATAATTACCAAGAATATGTTTAGTGTTCCTTTGCTACACTTCCTAGTTATAAGCTTAAATTAGCTTTTTTTACATAGACAACTATACTTCATACTTGATGCTTGGACGGCCCGCCCTCACTAGTTGTGCGAGCCTCAACATAATCTCCATTTTTCGGAGATTTACTGGTCAACCCATTATTGTTATTCCTCGAATTCCGAGGTTAGCATCGCCAAAGCCTGCTCCAGGTCTTCACCATTACGGGCAGTCGCAGCCTTTTTGGATTAGAAGGAGATTTGCCACCATACGACTTTGATACCAGGACGGTGGTGGATCCTGGTATTGGTTTACTCTTAGCTAGGCTTCCTGATGCAACGCGTGACTCCTTCTCAGCCTGGGAGACCCTGCCGGGGGACGAATCCCGCTGTACATTGCAGTCCGGCACCCAGAAACACCTTCCAGCTACGATGAGGCGGTAAACTGTTGGGAGAATAGACAACTATACTATATCTCAATGAGAAATCTAAAGTACGACAAAACTCCAACACGGAATCGCAGCATTGCAAAAGTTGTTTCTTTACCAGCATGTTGAGTTTTATCATGGTGCTCAAGTATGAAGTATAGATTTCTCGTGGTTCTTGATAAGGGATTTACGCTGCCATTGCAAGAGATAATATGTAGTATCGTACCTTTTTCTTCAAACAGTTATCCATATGGCACAGTTAATGGGTCTTACAAAGAGGACCAAATGGAGTAAATTCTGGCAATGGATGAGCCCGGAGAGTTAAATTTGCGGTGAGTTCTACTCTATTTTCGCTAACGAGAACGGGCTGCGTTTCATTAAGGGAGATGATGCTGCGGATGATCCTTCAAATTGAATCTCCTACTTGTGTTGAATTAGAGGATTTCTTTAAAGCTCTTTGGCAGCATAGTTCACTGCGGTTTGCAGTGTTTATGTTTTTGCTAGCTTTTCAAGTTGGCATTCCCATTAAGAATTTAGCTAAATATTTTTTTTTGATAAGATTTCTTTCCATTTTCCACATAGGTGTCTGATACCAACAGTTTTTGTTTACATGTTTACGGATGGAAGTAATTGATTTGCGAAGGCCAATGAATCTTTTGCACTGTGTTCTCTGTTAATGTTAATATAGGTAACGAAGTAGACAGTGGAGCTTGGACCATGCTTTTTTTTCCTGTGGTTCTCTGAAATGGGTGATGGAGGTTTTTTATGTATCTTGCAGTGTTTCTGTTCTTTTCGAAACTATGGATACTCTGTCGTTTTCTCCGTGAAGGTGCTAGGTACCACTCTTTCAGAACATGCCAAAATGGTTTAGTCCTAACATGGCAATCAATGAGCTACGAGAAATTAATTGGGTAGGTCCAATTACGCTCGAGAGTACCCGCGGAGGGAAAGTCCGAATACCTGAACCATCAGCTCATACAGGACCTCGTCCAGTGCAAATACGTGTGCTGTCTTCGGTACATCGGCCTCACATGGTAGCTTATTTTCTTTTCCATTCGTTTTTTAATAGCAATTTTTTATTTTTCCTTTTTTCGTACACTTACATATTTTACTTTACTGTATTTTTACAGTCTCCTGCGAGTAGTTCAAACCAACAACCACCTTCTCCATACATAGTTTTTCATTGTCATGGTGGCGGATACGTTGCTACTTCTAGCAAATCCCACGAAGTAAAACGCTTTTCTTCTTTTTTGTACAAATGAAAGACTTGCATATTTTTTTCAGACTTACCTTCGAGTATGGGCGAAGCTGCTTAATTGCACTGTGGTTTCTGTCGAATACTCGTTGGCTCCGGCCAATCCTTTTCCGCGACCAACAGAAGAAGTCATATTCGCATATGCATGGATCAATAACAATCCACATCTAGTTGGTGGGTAAACCAGCACCTAAAACTAACACCATATCCCACTAACCCATTCGCAGCGGCAGAAGCAACTTTTTAGTTTTTATGGACTTGCTGCTTTTTAGTGATAAGATGATAGGGTTGCAAAAGAGACTTTACTCTGTCTGGATGTGAATCATATATATATATATATATATATATATATATATATATATGAATATATATATACGGCACTATTTACCATGTGTTATTATAGTCATCATCCAAACATTGGTGTCATCGTTTAGACGGATTTTATAGCTTATGTTGAGTCTACTTCGGTTTTTGTTTTGTATCTGACTTCCAACGGTTTACCGCCTAATCGTTGCTGGGAGGTTTTCCTGGGTGTTGAGCTACGATGCGCAGCTGGGGGATTCTTCACCTTGGTAGGGTCTCCCTACTGAGAAGAAGTCCGGCGTTTCCATCAGGAAGTCCAGCTAAACCAATATCAGGAGCTTTCACCGTCCTAGTACCAAACTAGTCGCATTGTGGCAAATCTCCCTCTGCTCCACAAGGGCGGCAACTTCCAGTGGTGGACGACCCAGGGCACACTTTGGCCTGGCTGACCTCGGGACTCCAGCCAACCACGATGGCTAAACAACCAAAACCTCGGAGAAAAAACGGAGATTATGCTGGCGCCCACGCAATCAGTGAGAAGAGGCCATCCAGGTACCCAAGTAGGTGCCCATAAATTTCGTACAGTAATATTGCTTCGTCGTAGCGTTTAAAATGGAATTAGAGTTAATTGGTAGTCGAATTGCCAGCCATGAACTCATTAGAAAGAATGTCTTCTGTAAGTTACTAAATTCCTAGAATTTCTTCCTTCGTGATTTTCTTCAATGAGCAAACACGTGTTTGGTAGTATAGAATGTACTACTTACTTGATACATGAATAGGCTCTCGTTACTGGTTGTGCGGGCCCCAGCGTAATCTCCATTTTTCGGAGATTTGCTGGTTAATCCATTGTGTTTCTCTAGAATCCCGAGGTCAACCTGGCCAAAGTCTGCCCCAGGTCATCATAACCACAAGCTGTCGCAGCCTTGGTGGATCAGAGGGAGATTTGACACCATGCGACTTTAAATACCAGGGTGGTGGTAGACCCTAGTATTGGTTTACTCTTAGCTAGGCTTCCTGATGGAAACGCCGATCTCCATCTCAGCTTAGGAGACCCTGCTAGGGGATGAATCTCCGCGCTGTACATCGCTGCCCGACACCCAGGAACACCCAGCCACGATGAGGCGCTAAGCCGTTGGGAGGATAATTTATACGTACACAATATCTGACGTTTCAGCAGTTCGCCTACTTAGACTTCTTTTTTGGTTTCATAACTCATTTTTTGATCTAGTTTCGAATGGCCATAGAATCAAAACGCATAGTATAGTAGAAAAAAGTTCTGGAACCTAGTGAATTGAAAACGACCACCTGTACCGTCCATCTATAATGTCCACTCGCACCGCCACGTTTGGACGCTCTAGTTTGCATAATGTCGCTAATAGGTTAACTAATCACTCTTTCGACTGTTTTCGTTATTGCTACTATTAATTATTACAGTTTTTTGCAGGATGGACCGGTGAGAAAATGTGCATGGTTGGAGATTCAGCGGGAGGTAATTTGATCATGTCAGTTAATCTGCGACTTATTGAGTTGGACGTGAAAAAGAAACCAGATGGAATCGTACCCGTTTACACTCCGTTTTTGTTCCAGGTGTTCTTATATCTTGTTTTATGTTAACAAAAATGACTTTGTTGATGCTGAGATATTTGCAAAACTCCGAACTGCAGGTGTGTGCGGTGGGGAACGAACGCGCTATTGTTCTTTCCGAGGAGTAGCGCGTTCACCACCACACCATGCGGGTCCTTCGTTTCGCCTGTCTCTCAGGTAGTTCCATCGATCTCTTCCATCCATCAATAATCACCCGTCAGCGGGATTGATCTGGGGAGCCCAAATCGGCAATGAACCCAGCTAAGCTGAGGCTGTAGTTATAATCACAATCTTAACCGTTTTATTTACTGCGTACTCTTTTTAATGACAGGGTATATTGCGAAATATAACTTCAATGATGCTGAGATATTTGCAAAACTCCGGACTGCAGTTGTTTGCGATGTTGAACGAAAAGTGACTTTCTTGGTAGTTTAGTATCTGCCATCGCCATCTCGACTTCTAAGTGTCATGGATCCTCTTCTACACATGGGAGTTGTTCTTCGTTGTGTTGCGGGTGAGTAACATAATTCCTACATTACTTGTTTAAGGGTTAATTGTCGAACAACTTCAGCGAGCTCCAGTAAAGTCTCTCTCTTTATTTTAGGCATCGTGAACTTAAATTGCTCAAAAGGTCTTGATTGTATAGGGGACAGAAAAGCACCGTAGTTTTCTTTGACGGTCTTCCTAAAAACGTTTATTTCATGCCATGGAATTCATTTGTTTTTACCTTCTTGGTTGCCTAGATGGCCCGCCTTCACTGGCTGTGCGGCCAGCGGCATAATCTCTACTTTTTCGAAGTTTTGTTGGTTTAGCCATTGTGGTTCCCAGGAGTCCTGAAGTGAGTCAGGCCGTAGTCTACCCAGGTCGTCATCACCACAGGCAGTCGCTGTCCTCGTGGATCAAAGGGAGATTTGCACCATACCACCAGTTTGATATCAGGACGGTGATGATTCTTGGCATTGCTTTACTGTTAGATGGGCTTCCAGAGGAAAACCTCGGACTCTTTAGCTGGAAGACTATACTAGGGGAGTGGACACCTCGCCGTACGTCGCAGCGCGATACCCAGGAACACCTCCCAGCCATCGATGAAGCGATAAACCGTTGGTAGGATTTATTTGTTTACAACAATTAATTTTGTTCATCGCTTTTCCTACCTGATTTTCGACATATAGTGATGTGTAGATATCTGATCTTTGCTCATTGGCAGAGATCGCAATTTCATATTCTTTCTTTCTCATTCACTACTAGAACTAGTCCATTCATATTGCTGTAGTAGACCCAAATAAGTGAAATTTCCAACATAGATCTCTTTTTTCGTGAGTTTCGCTTTTGTTTAGATCGAAACGAAGCCAGATTTTTCCACGCAACAGCCATACTGGTTTTTTATCGCATAGGGATATTAACGTTCAGATGGGTAACTTTTAAAAGTTGGCCAATGTGTTAGTGAAAGCTGGGGTTCGTTTCCTGAAATGTTCTCGGATAAATCTTTCTGGACCATAAACTGTGCCGCTGTTCACCAACGATGTACTATTTTGGAATTCGCAATGTTGGACAACAAATCACTAATAACCGACCAGATTAAGAGGGAAGTTGGGCTAGACGTGGGTAATATTCTGTGTTATCCTTCTAAATCATTCATTAACAAAGACTTAAGCTAAGCGCGAAAGAACGATCATCTTGGTGTTGTGTTTGGCTTCACAAATTTCTTGCATTTCTCTGCGGTTCTACCCACTACTGCTGTGCTCGTTCTTCAAAATCTTCTCGTTAATCGATCTTTTGAAAAGCTGTAATAGTTAGGTGGTATTGCCTACGACTCAGCGTACAGCTCCGCGTTAACGTACTGGTTAGAGGTGACATGCAATACACACGTAGTCATTCATTCGATCACACTCTCCAGACTCACCAAGCTTTCAGCTCATCTCCACTGGGCCGGAAAATTTAGATCAGGCTTGTCACTGAGGACAGCTTCAGTGATTTGATACATCGATAGATCACTTTAAAGTCATTGTATAGGCCGAATATGCATTTAGTCACCTCTGACGATGGTTATTAAAGTCGAATTCATGGCGCATTCCGCAAGGATTGATTAGCACTGGAAGTTTTATTTATTTATTTTTTTTTTGGAGTTTCACATTAGTGTTCGTTCGATTGTCTTGTGAGACAAGGTTCTTTGGGACTTAGAAGTTATCTGCTGTTTTATTACTTTACTATTTCAAAGGTACCGGATAAGCAGGGTTATATTTATTACAGACGTCACTGACTCTATCACCCGGATTGTTGTCGTCACAGTTTGATGTGGAGTGAGGAGGCAAGGTTTGTCAAAATTAGGATTGCTCCACATCTTTTCGGGTAGGAATCTATGATTCGCTTCGCTAGTCATTCAGTGGAATCGATATTCGCGGGAGAGCTTGTGTCAACAAGGGCACGAACACTGTCATGTCGTCCACTGTCGAATGTGCTGAAGCATATTTGTTTGTTATTATGGAAGGGCGGTCTCTTTCCGTCTCGGTCAATGTAATATTGTAGTTAGCCTTATTACTTTTCATCGTTTGATCTTCAGTGAAAGGCACCAGATCCTACTGTGCATTACTGGACGTTACCATAGTCCTTCCAGATTTATATGGCATGAAATGGCTTTGAGATTTGGGCACCAGTACTCAGGAGTTTTCGTTTTTTTTTTTTTGACACTGATTACCGCAGGTTGCATGCTTGGATCTTCATCCGATCAGAATATACTCACACGTAGTTAGCGTTTTTTCAATGTGCTGAGAGAGCTTAATTGTTGGACGCGGTTCCTAACCACCTCCAAAGTGTTTGTCGTACGTCTGATTACACCTTTTTGGCCGACATGAAGTGTTGAATACAATTTGCATATGCGCAGACACACCTGCTTACGTATGCGTGAATATCTAAGGACGTAATGAAGTACAGTTTAATCCAACACAGCGGTGAAAAGAAATATTTTCCCCGAATCAATCAACCCGACTTTGTTCAGATCCTCTACTCGAGAATATACGTTGTCGTCCTTGGTCCGCATTTTAACTCTCTTATCTATAATCTTCGTGGTTTTTCCATCTATTACAGACGTCCAAAAAGTATTGTTTCTGTTGTTTTCGTATTATTTTTGTAAACGCCACAGATACAGATCGATGAATGCGCAAAATTTTCTTCATTTTAATTTTTTTCCATCTCCGTTACAGATTTTCGCTTCTGTCCTCTATAACAGTCAAGACTTACTGTTTTTACCTCTTATTCTCACATGGCATTATTCATACTCCTTACGTCTACATCTCTGATCTGAACCCTAATGATAACTACCTAACATGACTTATTATGGAACTCTTAATCATTTCACCATTGAAAAAACATTCGAATCTTATCTATATCATTTATCTGTTGGAGTTTAAAACGATTAAATCCTTTTAAGATATTTCAAAGTTGCAGCTTATACTGGAGCTTATCCAAACGGTAAAAAATTGGCAGAGAGCACCGAACATTCTGCCCATAAGTCCTTACAAGAATACGTCGACCAGGTGCAAAAATCACAACCGTTTGATTTCGCCGTAAGTTTTCCTATAAGTTGTTTTTATATTTTATATTTGTGGTTGTCTTCTTACGATTTCTCGCAGAATTATTGAACATGCCTTTAAGTTAGGGTAGTAGCGTAATCCATGTGCCCACCGTCTTCAATGCATGTTGAAATTTCGTTCTTTCAAAACTTTTCTTCAATTCTGGAGTTTAGTTTGACAAAGTTTAACATCTTCGTTCCTTAATGGTTGACATAGTCCTCTTATGTTTTGGTTGACCGATTGCTTTTCTTTACAAATTTGCGATGGTGCATGGTTTTGTATGGTTTTCGAGTGGATCTACGCTAATTTTTTTAGCGCTTATCCTACGACTCCGTCGAATATAATTTGTATGAACTATAGTGCGTCCAAAAATGGCTATGCCCACGATTTTTTCGTGTTTTCCGATGACTCCGTTTTTATGTGTAACTTTTTTTCTATTTTTTGTGTTCTTGTAATCTAACCGTCCTCTATTTTCTTCCATCTTTCTTTCCGTGGTTTTATCATTTCCAAATTGTGTATGATAAAGTCCTCTCCACCGTACATCCGTGCTACTACCGGCCTTTGCTCGTTGATTTCATAACATATGTTGAGTATACATCGGAATCTTTCATTATGTTCTATGTCTGGAGCAAAAAGTATAGCAAAAACAAAAAAGTCTTGTTTACTTGGATGCTTCCATGGCCCGTCTTCGCTGATTGTGCTGTTTCCAGAAAAATTTCCATTCGTTTCTTTCTCGCGCAATCGTCTATGATGGCGGTCTTCTTCGAACATGGTGACGTCGGCGAGGCCATTCCGTAATCCTGAAATCGTTGCAATCTGAGAATGCTGATAGTTGACGTTAGCCACGGGTACATGAGCCCGTTGTTTAGATGGTCTTCCAACAGGATGCTTGCATTGGAGTCCACACTACTGTTCTTTTCGTCCATCTATTATCTGTTATTATGTGACCGGCCCATCTGTCTATTGACGTATATTCTTCTGGATCCCGTTAAATTTCAGACGACATCGTTCAAGCCTGCTATGGGTGATGCGCATTATTCTGGACGTGGTTGTGCTATCAGCACACTTCTCTGCTGCATGGAAGGGCGCTGGCAGGAGCGCTGGATCGAGAACGTGCAACAGGATTTTCGGGTCCATTAGTTGGTCAGTGGCTACTCTGAGAGGCAAAAATGCGGCGCAGCCTGTTCTGTTTCTTCTATCTAATTTCTGCTCGTATCGTTCTCCATCTTCACTGAATGCGCAATGTTTACATGCGATGTGCTTTATGCAATCAGGGAGCCATCCTGTTCAATTTTTCGTCCTTGCACCATGGGTTTTTCATAAACTTGGTTTTCTTTCGATTTATGTATAGTCCAATCTTTTTTCCCATTTCGTTGAACTCATTGACTATCGTCTTTGCTCCGCTGGTATTTCCTGAGAAGATGACGACGTCATCTGTAAAACGAACATTTGGTACGAGCTGTCGACCAATACACATGCCATTCTCGTCCCAATCGTGTGACTTCGTTTTCCACCGCATTGCGGGAGTAAACAGCTTTGGTGATGTTGTATCGCCTTCTCGAACCTCTTTTTCTATCGGTTTGGTGAGGCGTCGATGAAAGGGCTGTATAATTGTGCTGCAGTTCCGATAACAGTCAGTCGATGTTCGTAAATAGCACAGGTCCACTTCTCGGCTGACGAGCGTTTATAGGATTGCATGCTCTTCGACGCCGTCAAGTGCTTTGCCGCAGATGATAGGAGTTGTGAAAAGAAGCAGATTCTACTCCCGATATACTTTGTGACCCGTGATACGGTTTAGAAATGGTCTATGCAGAAGAAACCCTGTTAGAATCCTGCTTGTTCAACTGGTTGTACCTTATGCAAGGTCTTCGATATGCGCAAAAGGATAACCTTCTTTTTTCGTATTCACTAAAAAAAACTGCAGCAAAATAAACAGTTGTTGAGGAAGTCAATCACATATGATTTATACGGTTGCGGTTGTCTTAAAATATCGCCAAAGCTGCTAAATTCTCTCGAAAGCCATATAAATATATTGGTAGCTTAAAAATTGGTTTTCTTTACACTGGGATGGAGAATTGCAGTTCTTAGAGGTGTTGTTCAATAATGCGCACAGTTATCAGAGGATTCCAGGCAGGATTTATTTGAACAGCATTCAAAACAATTCGTGAAGAAGGCCAAGTCATTAAGTGATAGCCAAACACGAATGCGAAGCACTTGGTGGATGGTGGATGTGAGGAAAAGAAATCGAATGGAAATGAGCGCCCAGATTCGCACATTATGTTATATTGGGTCTCGTGAATCAGCGAATAAAAATAGGGAACCTTTTGCTCGGTCTTAACTGAAAACTGATGACATTTCTTCATTTTGTTTTCCATAAGTTAACTTTGAGATCTTCGAAACTTGTATAGTAGGGATAAAATATAATTCCTATTCTTAAGATGCTTGTTAGTTGATCATAAACACTCAGGCGTCGAGAATTTCAAACCATCAAGGTACAATTAATGTGCGTCTGCATGGTTATATCTATTCTTCTAACCTCGGTTTTTTTTTCATCAGTCAAGTTTTTCAATGAATTATGTGGTTTTTTTAAAAACAGCATTGTTTCCTGTAAGATGGTTCTTCGTAACTAGCCACTTGACGTCTATAAAGAAGAGCAGATCGAAATACTAGGAGAACGTGTTCTTTGAGAGACGGGTATCTCTGTACCTCGTAGCCTTGTTAGATCTACTGATCTGGTTATCTTTTCTTCCTTACATGTGTTCTCCATTATGACTATTTCAGGGTGGTTCTCAATCGATTGTGTCACTTGTACAAAATGTGAATGATCCCAATCAAGTAAAGCCGTTTGAAGCAGGTTCTTTTTTTCCTGAAAAAGAAAAAGCACAAGAGATGGAGCAGGAAGACGGGCAAAGTAGCGATGATGACGACGATACAGGGAGTATAAGTAGTGTTCACGTGAGTGATTTCAAATGATATCATTTGCTTCTTTAAAATTTGTTTGACTAAATATTCTAGATCGGATCTGATCCTTTGCACATACAGTTGTCATCTACAATTTTCGACAGCGATCTTCTGAACTACCTTGTCAAACACCCTACAACAAAGAAGTTGGTAGTTCTTTCAATTCTCAACTACTTCATACTCGATCTCCGTCTTATTTTGTCATGAAGTCTTTATTTTTAAGTTCACTCGTCATGGTTGATGAAAACGGTGGCGTTATCAGGGATCAAGGAATATTGGCCATGAATCCAGACGTGTCAAAAGAGAAGGATAAGAAACGTCTAGGACTTTTGAGCAGTGCAGGTGGCATGATCTCTGACACAGTACCGAGCACGCCGTGTGAAGACCGTCAAGGAATTTCCAGTAGTATCTCATCGAACAACTTTCAGAACCAGCCGTCCCAGGTATTTTTGTTTTTGATCACTTCGGCCTTATGTTGTATATTATTAATTGTGAAAGCAATCCGTTATCTTACGAATTCCCCTTTTTTCGCTGACGCCGGGTTGTTACATTTTCTTGAAACGTGAGGCTGACGTTTCGATGACTTCGCCTTCCTCAGAGCCGTTTCCGTTTTGTAAAGTGTGAGGCCACGTATGCGCTGTTCACATAGGGTCTGCTATATTTTGTTTTGACCTTTTGTGTACGTGTAACCAGATAAACGCCGTTTTACCATTATTTTAGTTCGAACCGTTTATCCCTACATAGCTTGGGGCCCGTAGCTACTCTACGTGTAACATACTGATTGCAACCTGTAATTTTTAGGTTTCGCTGTGAAATAGTTCGTATCAGCATTTTCATACATCTGCTGTGTTGCTTTGTAAATATTCGGTTACTACAAAAATCTTATCCGCTTTTAACCTTCATTTTCAAATGGAACCCATTAGTATTTACACATGCCTGCCACCAAAATAGCAGATTACATACTTTACTGCAGTGTAGTACTGGACTTCTTCAGTCTAAAAATTTTCTGAATACATTTGTAGTATTGACTTGGTTGTTACTGTTTTTCTTTGCAGGTAGTCATTGATTTAGTGAGACATAACCACATAAATTGTGAGAGATCAGCAGAACTCATAACCTTAGTTGGACTTCGAACCCGCAATTGTTACCCAGAGCTCACGTGCTATCCAGTATATCAACCTAAGCCCATGCTTTGCCTTTCTTTCAGCCAGTTTTCACTTCATCAGTGCTACTAACATTCAACCATCAATGGGAATGATATTGGGGGATGCATTGTTTGTAGTTCACCTAGTTCCCTATCGTGCAAAGAGAATGGGCAGCAAATAAAAGTTAGGACATAAAGATAAAAGGCATAGTTTCATATCCCAATTCCTCCAATTTTTGTAGTTGTAGAATGTTTGCACGGATGCTTGCTGTTGTGGTGTTTTCCTACGAGTCGCAGGTGTTACAGTCTTACTAGTTTACTTTTTGGACTTTTTGACGAAAATTTGTGCTGTAATGAATGACCTCTAGAATTTAAGAAATGGTAGTCAATTTTGTATGTCATGCACGAACAGGTCATCATAACCTTCGTCTAATGCAAATTCATGCTATAAGATGTCTCATCTTTATTCAGTTTTGTGCAGTGTTATTTGTTGTTGTGTAGAATCCAACTTTTAGTCATAATTCACTGCACGGTCAAGAAGCAGAATACCCTTGTCGGGCAAGGTTTTACACTACTGTTATTTTACATATGCCTAGTCTTCCGCACTCTCTCGTTCCGTTTAACAGGAACCTATCTTTAAATGCTATAACCACGTCGATGACATCCGTTGGTTTCACACCATCCTCATCTTCATAATTCTTTTCGTCACTAGTTTCCTGAAATCATCTTTTCGTTTTTTGGTTTTCTATGAATTCCCTGGTTAACAGTACATTTTTGCGGTTTGCATGTCTTTATGTCCAACTTCACACTTGTTACAGAAATTCTTTTCAGGAGAATTCGCTCTTTTCATTGCTTTAAACATTCCTAATTGAATGCGCATTCACCAACCATTGAAGAATTAGCCGACAATTAGAGAACGACATGCTACGCTTATTTCTACATGGCCCGACTTGTCCCGGAGAGCGTTGGACCCCTGCGCGTATGGAGAAGCATCTCTACCACTATATAACCAAGCATCTAGAAAGCAATTAAATCGGAGGTTCCAATTAAGCGAGTCAGTGAGCTATAATATAATATACAATATGGACATAGAGACATGTAATTTTATTAAATAGGAAGGCCTTACAATTCTAACGTACTTAAGCAGCAGTGTTTTTGTAGTATTTTAAGAAATAACAAGTTTATGATCTGTGTATGTCTTGATTTATTAAAATTTATAGATTCATAAGCGATCTCTTTCGCAAAGTCTTGCGGACACAGCAGTTTTGGCGGCTGGACATGCTTTCGATAATTTGCAAGACTGGCTTGAGAAACCTACTAAAGAAAAGCAAAAATTGGACAGAACGGTATCACACAGTGACGATGTTGATTCAGAGGTATTCAATTATATACTATGTTATCATTCATTAAACCACTACAATATCGAAAAATCTCATGTCTTAAACGATTCTCAGCCGCTTAATCGTCAGTCTACGTGATCCCTTTCAAAATGTGGATGAAATTAAAATCGACCTCGAACATGACCAAAGATGCGTGTAAATTCAAGTGATGGTTTGCGTCCTCTAAATTGACTTATACATTCTATATGTATATAGATATGCATGTGTTCATGGGCATCCTTATATGCACTGCATTGTAAATGTCGATTTGGTCAAAAGGCTACCTGAATTCATTGCAAAGTGGGCTGCATGGCTCTAAGTCGCCTCCAATAAATTACCTCCAGGTCTACTGAACTAACAATTGCAGGATAAACGACTGATAACCATTGGTATTTCTCACCGGAAACAACATGGGCTAGGGAACTTTTCCCTTTGACCTTGGTGGAACCACTGATGCGGCGGACCTTGCAAGACTTTGTTGACAGTGGCACTAGAACACTCACTCGCTCGAGCTTTGTCATGAACATTTTTTTACGTCAATTCTTGAGAAACTGATGATTCGGATCTGGAAGAAAGTTGAACGAGATGCGAACCAATGTTGGTTTTTAAAAACTTCATCGCAACATCAAACTGTGATAAAGACGAAATGGGAACATTCCGTATCCATGTGGCTCTACTGAGAAATTCAAACCTATGACATCGTTGCAAGCGAATGACATAGTAATGTTGGCTTAAGAAGAATCGCTGAGAACTTCACATCGAAACGATTGATGTGGAATGTGCGTAGTGAACGACTAGCGTAGTTTGATATGATGTCCAAGACCATTATCGGTAACTCATAGTTCCGACTAGCCCATGCCACTGTCATCTCGCGTGATAGGTTCTATGTGGGAATCAACCGTTCCCTCTTCGTTCGACATTTTTATAGAGAATGCAACGATATTTAAGGAATAACTTCCGAAAACATTAAAAATCAGGTGTTGTTCACATCTTTAGCCCATTCTTAAGACGAAACAGTTTTTCACAACATAGATGAGGAATACGACCGGCTTATCCAGTACATCCACAATGCTTCTAAAGATGACTAGTGCTTAGAAATCACTAAAGCAGACCTCTCGAGAAATACTCGAACTGGTGCGTTAAAATGATATCGTGCGAGTAAGTCGCATACAGTAACCATTTATGTCTGAACTTGTACAACTCTGTAGAGAAGACCTCAAGGAGTGGTGAGCATCAGTACCGGATGAAACTATGGAGGGGAGAGCGTTAGCAACATCCGTCGACGGTCAGCGAAAGGACTGGTCACATTTATGGTTACTCTACCTAATTCTAAAAAATAATTACAGTGAACATAGGGCAGACTGAAAGATGAGAGAAATTGAAGTGGGACAAAGCGGTTCATTGTTTTTAGAAGCCATGTACACGTAGATCGTTCGTTCTGGATCTTCTCGATAACAGCACGGTTCCACGTGATCCATTAATCTCTCCGATGTATGCTGCGGATGAAGTCATTCGACAGCTTCCTCCTGTATACTTTATCGTATGTTGTCACAAATCTTCCATATGGTCTCGTTGCATGACTATGTGCTATGAAGTTTTTAAATAGAAAAGATACGATATTATAATTCCTGGAATGGTTTAGTGGAATTTGTCAAATCTGGCAGGTTTCCATTGAAAGACGACTCTTTTGAAATTGCACATGACTTTTAAAATAAGTGTAGGCGGTCAAAAGAACATGATTTTAAAAATGATTGAAATATTCGGGGGATTACTAAGGATGAAATGGTCAACGCTAGTGGTTCTGACCAAGTAAATCTTCTAAGTAGTTTTTTCGCTGTTGGCTATCCGTGGCTTTTCCATTTATTTCTGTCCTTTTCAGGCTTGTCATCTTGATCCGCTTCTGGATGACACAATTGCGTTTGCGTCACGGCTGCAGGCTGCTGGAGGTCGCGTAGGATCTGTGGATATTCTACCAGCCATTCCTCACGGTTTCCTTAACTTCACACTTGTGTCTCCTGAGTGTCGACGTGGTGCCAAGATTTGTCTGGAAAGAATTAAACAAGCGCTGGGATATGTAGAGAGTGCTACTGTATAATTGCATCGAATGCAGAATAAGATACGACAGATCACTCATCTACTGTTTGGTTCACTACGAACGTCAATAATTGTGCAAGATGGCGCCTGAAGTGTGCATGTACAGACGATGCTATATTTGATGTGCATACATCCATATATTGCTGGAAATTTGCAAAATTTACTCTCTCCTATGTTACTCTAATAAGTTTTTCTTAAGGCGGGATTTTTTTTTGGAGGGGATATTGTGAGGAAGCGACAATGTTTCGTTTTCGGACTAAGCTAAAAATTGGATTCTTGGTGTGATTCTGAGGATATGGACAGATGACATATAATAATAATTCTTGATAACACTGGAGCTGAAGTTCCTTAAGGGTTGAAGTGTAAACATAATCTTTTTTTAGTTCTTAATTTATAATCTCTTATTAATCAGTTTATGTCCTTAATTTGTCGACATACGAGCACTCCAAAATGAATTGCGAGCGAAATTGTCATTCAGTGGATAATAAAGCTTGTATTTCCAAAATTTTCATTTTTTTTAATGTCTCGAGGTTCTTATACAGCACACGTACAACACAACAGTAGTGCGATTTTTTAATACCAAACGCTTTAATAACACAGAAGGATGAAAATCGATATAGTATTCACGTAATCAACAACTTCGTTCTGCCTTCTTATTGTGTTGTGTTGTATGTGTTTTTTTCTTTCCTTTTCTTTTCTTTTTTGCATGAAAGCAAGCGTGTGCTCCATAGTATTCTCGCGATTGCTGGAGGCACATTTATAATCCAATACCATGGTTAATGTAAATTCTATCCTGGGAACGGTTAGATGTAGCAGCTTGTATTTCTGTTCATTTTCTTCTTTGGTTATGATGATATTACGAGAGGTGCATTCTTGTGATTGTTTGATGAGATATCTATTTTAGAAGTATTCCATTTCAAATGTTCCTTCTGCCGAGAACGAGTTTTTTCTATGATATCATCTTAGAAGTTGAAGACATGAATTTGTCTTGAACATCTCGTTTTCTCCTTTCCACACCATGTGAAAACTGAGAGCTATTTAGTTGGTGTTGTGTGCCTTTTTATCAACGCCTACTACTCGTGTTTTTGTTGAACATGATGAGCATGATAATGAATACTTTGTGTCACAGCAACACTATATGCTGACAAATTTCAAAGTACAGATTTTCCAGTAAGTCATACATGTGTCTATTCCGTTTCTACCAAGTCAATTTACTGTTTTATTATTGATCGATATGCAGAGGTAGGATTTGAATGATGTTTATGATAAAAGGCTTGACTGAAGTGAATACTTTAGAGTTTACCAATGCAACTGCGATAAAATTTCATTATGTTGACGATTAACCAGTATCACCTGTTGCCCCGTTGATCGTCGAGTGAGGTTGAGTGACTCGAGCGAGTGGAAGTATTCCATCTATTCAACTCGCTTGCAAGAGTAGCCTAGTGGGTTCTGCTCGCTCTAGGGACTCGCTGAGCATCATATATTTCTTCTAGGGCTTTTGTGAATAACTCTGACTATAGGTTCGCTAGTCTTCTTGCAATATATTCAACGTCCGGAGGAATCCAGTCACTAACTGCTCTTGTCCATCGGTTGTTGTATATACGCATTGCGTATCCGGCCTACCTCATCTTCGACGGTTTGGCGTATAAAACGGCATTCTATACTTTTGATCGTTGATGGAGGTTTGAGCCTCACATCGCTACCCTCACTAGTGTGAAACGACATACTCCTGGTATCGTCGTTTCGACTGCGCGTTCATTAACGCTAAGTGACCTTTCGCTTTTCTTACGCAGCGACCAGTTTTCTGACGCATAGGTTTAGGCAGGAATAATTGTGGAGTTGAAAAGGCGAGTTCGGACTTGGATGTTCCTTGCTCTCTCCACTAAATGCTCTATGCTTTTGAAAGCTCCAAGCCACTCCTTTCCCTCTGCTGAACTCTGGAGCTAAGCCGTTCATCATGTTGATTTTCCGACCTAGGTAGGCGTAACTGGGGCATTCGGCGGTATCTGTTCCGTTGAGTGTGGATCGCGCATGCTGAAAATCATCCGTACCTCGTGAACATCGTTTTTGTGAGATTTAGTCGAAGACCATTCTTTCCGCAGGCGTTATCAAAGTCGGCAAGAATTTGTTCCTTCTGGGTAACTTTTGGTGTTATAAGAACGATGTCGTCAGCGAAGCGAAAATAATATAATTACCGACCATTGTTTTTTGCTCTCATGTTGTCCCATTCTAGTCTTCGCATGAAGTTCTCCAGGATGGCGGTAAATAATTTTGGGGCGATGATATCTCCTCATCTAACCTGTCTTTTGACGTCTATGTTAGTATTGCTCTATAATGGTGAGTTGTCGATTTTTTATATAGCTCACGGAGAATGTTTGTATAGCAACTAGGGACTTTGTGGCCATCGATAGGCTTCCGTGAGTTCTACCTTAGCTGACTCAAAAGTTTTCTCTAATGCATGAAATGCTACTGAACGGTAACTTGTGTTTCCCATGATACCTCGTTGAGTCTTGTTCTCGTGTGGATGTGGAGTATGGTGCTGAAGCATCTTCGAACCTTTTTGAATAACTCGAGTGGGAAGTTTTTGGAAGACAAACAGCAAGCAGATTGGGTGACAGATGCAGATATCTTGGAGGTAACCCTCCTAGAACAAAAAAACATCTTGCTGGCCTTCTTGTGAATTAAAGGCTTGAGTTCTGACAGGCAACGAGTGAAGAGCAGAGCGCTGAGTGTGTCATTGAGCGCGGTCAGATTCTTCAGATGTTCAGATCTTAAACTGTCGGGATCTGGTGTTGTTAGATTCTTCGTTGACGAAGTGGCATGTCGGATTTCGGGAGCAAGAACCAGTGGTAGAAACGTTGGCCACAGATTTTCATCACAGTGACTGTCATTTTAGGACTAATGGTTTGTGTTGTATTTCTAATCGCTTGATTACTAAATTTATTCAGAAATCCGGCTCCTAATCAAGCTTAAAATCACTGCATTTTGGCAAACAGTGGGGCTGTGTGGAAATATTGCCACAGTAGAGGAGTCGGCGTTCTCGTCAACACGAGTTTGTCCATGTACATCGATTCATTCGAACAACTTACAACCCGAAAGGGACGTTTACGATTAAAAAGACGTAGATCAATTCCGACTTTGGCAATCTTCGTCGTTTACGCACCGACATCAAACTGTGGCGAAGAAGAAGTCGGAGCGTTTTATATGAACTTCAAGAAGTTCTACAGAGAAGACCACACATTCTTCAAGGTTATCATTGGAGTTTGAAGAAATCGAAGATGAGCACCCGTCCTTGTTTATCACGACAAGCAGGACCATCCATGGTAACTCGCAATTCCAGAAGCCCCACCCTCAACGCTAGACGTTGAAGTTTCCCATTGGAGAGTACCATAACGAAATAGACCACATCATAGTAAATAGAAGGTTTTCCCTAACCGATGTCGCTGTTGTCGCAAAATTCTACGCGGGATCAGACCATCGTCTCCCTCGTGTATGATTCCATTTCTCGCAGAAAGGCGAAAAAGCAGCTAACTTCAAAAAACGAATTCCGAAAACCACTGTAATTTGGGACTTATTCAACTCATTAGCCGGCTGTTGGGAAGATACCGTTGTCGACAACATCGACAAAGAATACGATCGGCTCATTCAACATCACGTTAGCGCTATGAAATCTGAGAGTTGAGAGCTATGAAAGAAGGTTACCAAGAGACGTCTGTCTCCAGTAAAAACTCAAGCTGATACGCCAGGATGGAATCGTACGTGCTGCAGGCAACCGCGAACTAACGCCCGAACTTGCAAAACGATGCAAACAGACGATGAAAGAAGATCTTGAACAGAAAAGAGAAGCAGCAGTGGCCGAAGCTACAGGGGCCAGGAAAAGCCGCAAAGTCCACCGCAGCTGCGTTAATTACAAGACCAAGATGATTCCACTCCGACGCCCAGAGAGATGAGTTACACCGTTCAGAAAGGCACTGGAAAAAATCATTCACGAATACTGTTCAGATCTCTTCAATAGCCACGGCTTCCATTCCTCATATGAAATGAAGAAGGATGGACATGTTGTGCCACCGGTTCTCCCTTCCGAAATCCGTCATATTACTTCGTCGGTGAAAAATCGAATAGCACCAGGTCCGGAGAGGATAAGATCAGAACACCTGAAGAGTCCCGGACAGTCCCTCGCCCAATCTGCTTGCTGTCTGTTGTCTACAAACATTTCACTCGAGTAATCCTAACAGGGTTGACAGAACACTGGACGAAGGGTAGCCATGTGAGCAAGTAGGGTTTTGAAAAGGATTTATTACGATGGACCACATCCACCCGATAAAAAGACTCACTGAAGTATCGCGAGAGTACAAAAGACCGTTCTGTCTCACTTTCATCGATTTAAAGAAGGCCTTTGACTCAATTGAGACAGAAGCACTCATGGGAGCCCTTGATTGTCAAGGAGTCCCTACTCAGTACATAAAGATTCTTCGTGAGCTATGCAAAAATTTAACAGCCAAGATATCACCATTCTACAAGGATATTAACACTGATGTCAAAACAGGGGTTAGGCAACGCGACACCATCTCGCCAAAATTATTTACCGCCACCTTCCAGGACGTCATGCGTCATACGAACACTGGATTTGGATAATATGGGAGTGAAAATCGATGATCAGCAGTTACATCATCTTCGCTTTGCTGATGACATCGTCTTTATAACACCAAACATTAGCCAAGCGGAACGTGTGCTTGCCGACTTTGATAAGGTCTGTGAAAAAACTGGTCTTGGACTAAACCTCACAAAAACGAATTTCATGAGGAACGGATTGGTTTCATATGCCGCATTCACGCTCAACGGAACGATTATCTCCTAATGCTCCAGTTATGTCTGTTTAGGTGTGAAAATCCATATGATGAACGACTTTGCTCCAGAGTCGAGCAGAAGCATACGAGCGGCTTGGGGAGCCTTCAGGAGCATCGATGATGTGGTGAGGAAATCAAAGAACACTCGACTCCG